AAATCCTCTCTTTTAATAAGTTTTGAACTAAGTTCAGGTAGTTATTGCTAGTACTAAAATGTCCTTTGGTTTCCTGTCCTTTTCAAGTCTGTAGCATTTGAGAAAGCTTTATGATTAGTCAGCTGCTCTTGTGTCATTGTTGTGTTATGATGTCCACTAAAATCCCTCAGCTGGGGTTTGTGTTTTACTCTCAGATTTTTTTATTATCTGCTTGTAAAATCTGCAAAACAGATTCCTGTGCTTGATTAGCATCTCTCTGCTATGAACCCTACCTTTTCTGATAGCCAATCCTACATTACTGTTTCTGTGAACTACATGAATGTGCTTGCACTGATTTTTTTATGCTTCTTTGAGTGGTAATGAGACTGAAGTCTCAGAGAGGGGTGTCTTTTCTCAGATTGGAAGCTGTCCAGCAAAATAAGGTCCTGGTCCACAGCTAGGCCACTGAGTGTCATTTTACTGTTACTACCACAGTGATAAAAGAATCAAAACAGAGTGGCAGTAATGAAAAAAGCTTTAATTTTACAGCAGGTAAAAGAAAATGGTATGCATGTGCCTGCTTACAGACTCTTGCCTTTTCTTTCCAAAATGTCTGTCTCTAATATGACAGTGGTAAGTTATCCCTTAAGAAAAATTCATTTGAAAGTCGCAAAATTCTGAATTTTAATTTGATTGGTAGTTCACCCTGGAATGGAATTTTGCCTTTGGTAGTTTTTCCATTTTCTCACAAGCATAGAAAAGCACTTATCTTGCTTCATAGGCAGCCATTATGGCTGTTTTATCTGTGTAACAAAGGACAGCAGAAATAAAAAGTTAGGTGCCCCGATAAGTTAAGGAGGAGAAACTTTTGAAGTCTACAAATAACACAGTTCCTTTTGGCTGATTGATTTCAGGTGAGCATAAAGGACACAAACAACCTTTTTCTTTAACTAAACGGTGCACATCTGAATGACAGACAGCTGCAGTTCAAGTAGAAACATTTTTGGCAGCTGTTACATGGAGAATTGCCTCACTCAGAACCAGACTCCTGTTTCTATTCAGCGTAACCGAATGTTAGTTCCTCAAAGTCAAAAGAAATCTGAAAAGAAAAAGAAACCTCCCCTTGTACTACTCTATTTGTGACCGTGTGCATGAGGGTATCAAAAAGCAAAGCTTTGAGGAAGCCAGACAGCTGTGCTCCTGTGCGGACTTGGTAGCTCAGTGCAATGGATGCAGTAGATGTGTCACTGCAATACCTGCAGTACGCCTCTGCCAACTGATTCCTGCCTGACCTCTTATCAGTCCTCATGCCTGCCAGAAATAGGCAGCAGCAGAGCTCTGCTCATTTGGTCTTAGATGATCACAGCACACAGTTCTATCTTACCCCACTGCCAGAAAAGAACAGACTTGGCTGTAGGTGGAACCAAGGCTTATGTCTTGCAGTTTAACACTTCTTAATTGAAACCTAAGAGCATGTGAAGCCATCTTTTGTTCTTTTCCTTCTTACTTTATTATACTCTTGCACATATTTTCCTTTTATAAAGTAAGACATTTCTTCTCAGGACAAGCTAGAGTATGATGAGTAAGCTCACATAATTATCCTGCAACATGATATAAACTTCTTGTTATGAAGAAGGTGAGCATTTGTGGAAGGAAAAATCTTAGCAGAGCATTATGTTCCCTTTTTCATCTTCAGTTTCAGTTATTTCTGCATATTTTATTGCTTTATTGTGTACTTCAGTGTAGGAGTCCCAAATACTTTCTCCTTAATGCAAGTGCTCCACCAGAAGGGGGAGAGCAGTGCAGTCACCTTCCTGACTGATGCTACAGAACAATCAGTGAGAGCAACAATGACCCCCTGTGAGGAAGTCAGGATTTCATGAATACAGAAAGAGAAGGAAGCTTTGTGTAATAACACATCAAACCAAGAATAGCAGAATAAGTTTAGTCCAAAGTAGCTGGAGAAGCAGGTAAAGGCTGTTTACAGTACATTCTTAGATTCATTTTACCTTCATTTTAAGGAAGAGGTTGTGACAGGAATAAAGGCCTTTGTAGAAAAGAAAGAATTCTAACTCTAGACAGGTAGAGATTAGGCAGCAAAAAACAGCAATGCTTATAAGCAAGTAAAAAGGTAGAAGACTGAGAAGAGCTAAAGCAGATTGCTGCCAGTTGGGACTAAAGTTACAATTTCATTGTGGGATGCATTGGGATGGGAAATCTTTGCTCACCACCTGTTTGAGCTCTGCCCTTATGTACTCAGGTCTTGTCCCTACAAGATGAAATTCCCACTCACTTACTTATTCACTAGCTAAAATTGGCTGCATCTGCCTTGAAAAAAAAACAATACAAAAGTATGTGTATTGTGCTGTTTGTTTCCTAAAAACAAATTCATGAAGTATTTTGTGTTGCTTTCCTCACATCTCCACTTGCCCTTAGGAGTATATCACAGCTTCAAATGATAATCTACTCTGAGTTGTAAAAACAAGGAAGGCGAAATGAATTCAGTGGAATTATCCCAATGTCAGATACCAAGTATTTTGTTTTGCATTTTACTTGTTTAAATAATTGAGATGAAATTCCAAGAGCATATGTTGAGCTTACTTAAGATGGTTTAAATGTTCTCTTCATTTTTCTTATTCCAGTGTAAAAATTTCCTAGCCTAGATTTTAGAGAATGGTATGTTTTTCTTAGGTGTCAATACCTGATTCAAAGATACTTGCTTAAACAATCCTTATTGAATCCAGCTGGCTCTGGATAAGGCTTCTACTGTTTTATTCGGAACAAACATAAGATTTGATCCTCAAAAGTCTTTTTTTTAAAAAAAATTCTACCCTAGTCTGGCACATTGTCACCATCTAAATCGACTGGAATAAGTGAAAATCATTCAGAATGACAGCAAAAAACAGCACCACTTTTTGGCTTCTTCAGTGACATTTCCTCCTTTTTGCTTTTCAGCCACAAAATAAACAGGCATAAGAGATGTAACTGCCAGAAAAGTCAGCAGATTGGTGTTAATGCCTAAGAGGAAATTCCTAACTATAGAAATGTCACAATCATCTACACTTTCAAAGTATATTTCCAGATAGATGGTTATTTTTCACTGTCTAATCTTTGGAAACCATATCATAATCCTCTGTGCAATCTTATGGACACAAACATGGTGTTACATGACAATTTCTTCTTTTAAATTTAGCACCACAGCTTTGTAATGTTAGAGAAAAACAAACCTAGAAAATCTGTATGGATAGTTTGTCTCCACAAAAAGAGTGTTATCTCAAAAAATGCCATACTGACGAGACACTCAGTGCTGTGAGTCACAGCATTAGTGGGCTGAACCATTATTGTGTATGGATATACATTTTCTCTGTTTGTAAAATTCGAAGTGTTTGATTTGTAATAGAAATACTTTTTAGGACAAAGGTGTGGCTGTAACATTTGAACATCTGAATTTTAAAGAAAGCTTATGACTTAAAGAAGTTGATACTTAAGAATGCGTTCTTTTTATGACTTGTAAAAAAATCGCATTACTATAATATATTCTTGAAATGCAAAAGAGTTAGAAACTAGAATTTTTAAAAAAAAAAAAAAAAAAAAAAAAAGCATTACAAACCCAGATTCAAAATCACTTTCTAGATAAAATGTCTGAAGTGAAGATTTAAGATCTCTGCCGTACAGATAACCTTTGGGAAGACAGTATAAAGACCATCATTTTCACTTCTGCTGAATTCCACATTCTTTTCACTTTGCAGGCCCTGTTGTCCAACTATTTCATATCGATTTCTCTCTTTCCCTTCCTCCTCTGTCTCTTGTAGTTCTACCCTTGTTGTCTCTTTCATTCTTTTTTTCTAACTCATACCTTTGTCCAGTTCTTGCCTTCTGCTTTCTTATTTCATTTTCAGAGCACAATTATTTTTTTCCTTCTCCTTCCCACCCCATTCATCTATCTCTTTCAACCTACAGCTTTTAAGATAAATCACAACCACAGGCTTTTTCTTTCTGAAAAAACAGAGGCCTGGATGGTAGCTAAAGTCAGTTATTCTGGTACCCAGCATTAATGTTTAAGCATGTTTCCTGCTTTATATTGCATTTACCTACAACTTGTAAGTATCATTAAGTAATTACTCTAAGAAAATACTAAGAGCTTTTTGGCCCTTGAAGCTGCTCTGATAGATGAATTAGATCAATACAATCATTTATAACCAGATATATGTTGTTTGTTTGTTTGTTTTTCCCTGTCAAAAGACTCTTTGAAAGATAATTTCAGTAGAATTTTTCTTAGGAAGCTGAAATATTTCATCTTAGTTCATTGCAGATCATAACAGAAAAACAAACGTATAACTGGAATGTTAATTTCTACTCACTAGTGCAGGACAAAGGAATTATCAGTAGAAATGCTACCGAATAATGGAGACTACTAGAAAAGTTTTGTCCATTTAGCTCCTTAGTTACTATGCTTGGAAATTATCAGGACTTGTACTGTATTCATTTTATTTTCTGTTAATAGCTAAGGCATGATTATTATTCTGGGATCTTGCTGACATACACAGAGCCTTTCCAGAGTGAATTTGAAATGGCAGTAAATCAGAATGGTTGCTTTTATCATCTCTTTGCACAGGTGTTAGTGACAGCAAGGATCACTAATGCTGATGTAAAGAGTAAGAGAGCATGAGTGTGAAGAGAATCAGTATTGTTGCATCAGTATGAATGTGGAAGGATGTAGAAAGGCTCAGAAGTCAAGGAAATATCAAGTTTGAGCTTCCTGGAAATCCTGCTGTAGGGCGCAGCTTTGCATCTCAGCTGGTTCTCACAAGCAGCCTCACCACTGCACTCCTCTACTTCTCTAGAACTTTGTATTTGGACTTTCAATATTTCTTCTCCTTACAAAAGTATAATTGATTTCAACGTCTTTAGTTGTTGTTTCTGAAAGTAAACCAGTTTGGGGTATTATGAAAGTGCCAGTTGTAATGAAACTATCACCTGCAGCTTGGAACAGAAAAGGATACCTGTGATCAAATACATACCAAACTCTGAACAGCCACGCGCTCTCTGCTTTGGTTGTATTTTTATCCAAGTTACATGCAGTCTGCAAATAAGCAAATAAAAAAGTGAAATGCGTTTTTATGACAAAAAGCCATGAAGTTCCAATATTAAAAATACGTCAAACCAGTAACAGTTTACTGTACTTTTTTCCCCTCCTAATCTGAAAAGCCTCTCTTACAGGAATGTCATCTCTCAAATTGGTTCATGGGCAATTTGGCTCATGAGAACACACTTCTCATTATACTGTATACTTGATGGAGGAATCAGCATTTAGTTTTATTAATGATTCCAATCTTATTAAGCAGCTGAGAAGCACTGTATTCTAAGATCAATAAAATGACATTTTGATCTAATTGCTGTTGTGGGATTACTTCAGTTTACTCCTACAAGCTCGGATGCTGTATGCCTAACCAAATGTCATTTTTGAAGGTACTGTGGTATTCTAATAATCATGACACTGCTTTCTGTGCTGCTCTCCAAGAGAGAGAAGATCATAGAAATATTGGAAAAGCAGGGGCAGTCATAAGCACCAAAATACACTGACTCAAAATACTGTTTTTCATGCTGTAAACTAATTCTGAGATACCCTGCACAGGTAGACGGGCTGTCATTTTACTGAGAATCATAATTTGGAATAATATATTTGTGAGAGTCTTCTGTGCAAAAATAGCTAGTTTTGTCTTGCTCTGGGCATCACATTAATACCAGTGGCATGATGGAATTAGGAATAGGACTGTCAGTCCTCTAAAGGATATTTTCTTCTTGTTTCTCTTTTGTTGGAAGTTAGATTTGTTTGCAATAGGAATGCTTTTCATCATGCAGTTTTAAACCACGTTATCTAATTATTTTTATTCTAATCAAACACATTAAAAATTATTTTCCCATAATACTTAACATGCATGTAAATGGGCTGAGGATAATAATATTAGTGTGCTGATCCTTAAAACTGTAGGGTCCGGTTTCAAGCCATCATGGACTCGGGAACTTTGGTCACAAAGGAGATGGACAGAAATTTCTGCAGCAGATCTGGAGGCCTCTCCATTTTGGCTGAGAAAAGGGGAGTCTGGAGGCTTACTTCTCACACATTTGCTGGCTTTTAAATATCTTATTCCTGAGTGGGTTCAGTCCTTCTTGTACAATCCCCTGAAGCTCTAATTAATGGCACTAAGTGCTGGCAGGCGGCTCACATCTCATCTGGCTGAGATAGTAAGTGGCAACAGAAGACAGTGGCACTTGATATGCTACTTATATGAGTTCTGTGTGAGGTTTATGAATATGCGCTGTGCAGGATTCAGATTGAACTATGATCTAGTAATACTTATGAAAAGCCAAAATGTATTCCAGTTTATGCTATCACAAGTAAAACAACTTGTTTCACTGTGAAGAGATGCAACACAGAAAATGTAAAGTAGGTAAATGAAATAAAAACATTATATATTATATAAATACAAAAATTATAATAGATAAATATTAGAAATAAAAGGAAAACAAAAAGACAACAAAGGGGAAGAAAAGAAAAGAAAAAGATGAGAGAAAAAAGAGAAAATTTAAATAAATAACCTGAAATTGATCAAACAACTCTGATAGATACTGAGTTAAAGAGGGCTACAGAGAATGCGATAGAGATCTGCAACAGTCAAAGATCGAGATGTCGAATACAAAGAACTCAGAGAAATGAAAATAGAAGACCACAGGGTAGAAGAAATCAGTGCAGCAAAGCTATTTTCCAAAATAAAATTTATACCATAAGGATTATGGTCATGTCAGAGCATGAAATGTGTTACATTTATTTACACCTCCTGAATTGTGTTCCTGAGTTTTGTCAACAGAGATAGGTGTTGATTCACAGGGCACTGCTGGGCACTTGACATGTTATTGTTATTCATAAACAATTATTTTCATTTCTATTAAAAGAAGGAGGCAACTAGAAGCTCAGGGTTTCTGGAGAAATCAAGTTTTCACAAACCATTTGGTCAATTTTATACCATTCAATTCAGCATTCTGTTATGTTTGATAGCTCGTGACTGCTGCAAAGGAGAACAGCTCTGAAATTAAATGGTTTTGAAATTCACGCAAGAATAGATAAATGTTAACAACATAAAAAAACTGGTGTGTCCTGTATTCAGCCAGAATTTGAGCAGAGGCATTGCAAGAATTACTACCAAGTCACCAAGGAGGGTGATATTTGTAACCTGTGCCTTCAGCATCAGAATATATCAGTCTCACAGCTTGGTGCAACAGGGTGCTGTACCAGCCATTTGCTAGGGACTGAGATGTAAAAATAAAGATATGATCATATATGAATCAATTTTTTCTATTATTTTCAGAGAAACTTTAGGACATTTAGGCATGTGAATTCCATTCAGCTCAGTGAAAGCTGAGACCCTAAATGACTTCTGATATATGCAAGTGGGTAAAGTTTAGATGTTCAGTCTAATAATATTTTTTATGTATTTCCATGTGGATAGAGTCTCTCATTCATTTATTGCCCTAACTTACTATCTACGTTTTTCTAATTGTTGGGTAATTTCAGTTGCAGTTAGGCAGTTTGAAGGAATGCTTGGGATGGTATTACCCAGAAACGGGAACAGGATTTTTTTATCTGTTGTTTTTCTTTTTCTTTTTTTTTTTTTTTTTTTTTTTGCTGTGAGAATTTGCCAAGTCTCACGCTGGTTTTCCTTACTCCTCTTAGCATGCTAAAGGACACCTTACCTCTATGTGTACTGACTCTTACAGAGTCACAGTTGCAGACAATGCTGCGTCTGAAAGAATTCTTTACAGATGTGACAAAATAGGGAGGGTGGCAGACGATCTTTGGGAGCTTTTTCACCGAGCTCCTTTAGTTTAAAGTTTTTATGTTCAGAACACAGACAGATTTCTATGTTAAAAACATTTTCAGAAACCTGGCCTGCTGGGACAAGAACATTGCACGCTTTCCCCTTTTATTCCAGGAAATGGAAAGTTGTTCTGAAATGTTGCATTTTCCAGAAAGTCTCATCTGGAAGGTGACAAATAGCTGGATTTATGAAGGCTACATTTCTACTATTCTGCTTGTCAGAATTCTCAGGATATCTTTGCACTGCTTTATAATTTTCTTCAAAGCTCTCTAACACCTTTAGTTACAAAATATGCATGAAATACATCTCCTTTTCTGTACCCTGTACTATAGAGACAATTTGCAGTTCCTTCTCAATGCCCTTGATGAGGGGATAGTGGCCACCCTCAGCAAGTTTGCTGATGATACAAAGTTGGGAGGATTGGCTGACACGGCTGAAGGCCTTGCTGCCATTCAGCGAGACCTGGACAGGCTGGAGAGCTGGGCAGAAAAAAACCGGATGAGGTTTAACAAAAGCAAGTGTAGAGCCTTGCATTTGGGGAGGAATAATTGCATGCACCGGTACAGGTCGGGGGATGAGCTGCTGGAGGGGAGCTCTGCGGAGAGGGACCTGGGTGTCCTGTGGATGACAGGTTGGCCATGAGCCAGCAGTGTGCCCTTGTGGCCAACAGGTGGTTCAGGTTTATGCAGCACATACATCTGAAATCATAACATACCTGGTTTGCAGCTTCTGCTTTCATATCTTCATCTGGATCTACACCAACTCTGTTTAAAAAAAAAAACAACAAAAAAGTGGTAATGGTCAGATGTGTATTTGAGAGCTTTGAGGGAAGATCAAAGAAGATCTTAAACTTTTTCTCTTGTGCCCACCAGGCGAGAAAAACAGAGAACTGACAAAACATTGAGATCACTTTTCAAATCAGGGCAGTTCTTAATATGTTTTTATGAACTTGAGACACTGAGGTTAAATCTTCACCGTATCTTGTAAATGATACAATGTAAGTGTTAAGTCACCTGAGGAGGAACTGGAGTTTAAGTGGTAAATGAAGGACAAGGCTGCAGGACTACGGAGTTTCTTGATTGAGCATGGCTTCTAGCATTTGGAAAGTGCTTTGCTCTGCAAACAAACCACTGGACGCAAGAGTGAAAAACGATTTTTTTCTATCACAGCTTTTGAGTTTCAGTGAATCTGAGCGCTTTAATCTTTCTTTTTTTTTTTTTTTTTCATAATAATGACTCTGGTGCAGACTCTGGTCATTTAAATAATGACTCTGGTGCAACAAGGAAACAGACTGCACAGCTACTTATTTTGCTTCTTCACGTCCTGTTCCTTGAATTGCTAGAAAAGTCTTCTGACAGTACTAACCTATTCATTTGTTTGGAGTAAAGCAATCTAGCTGTTTTCCATTCCAGTAATGGAAACATTTACAGGGGAAAAGAAAAAGGAACATACATGAAGGTTTAACCATCAGTCTGACACTGACCTTGTTACTGTCACATACAGAACTGCCGTGTCTTTATGCTCAACATTGTAAAACTCAGCAGTGTGAGACAGTCCTGTGCTGCAGTGGACAGCTGAACTGCAGCAGGGTATGGAAATTGCTACAGCAGGAAACAGTGGTGCAGGTGGAGGTGTGATCATCCCAGGCTCATAAAGTGAGTCAGAATCAGAGAATCCAAGTCTCCTAAACTCAATTGTATACCCTGTTTATTAGACTGTGCTTACTTACTGGATGTGTTCACTGACAATGTCACATGGCTGTCACAGAAAAACACTGGTAATGCAATAGTTAAGGGACAGCATAGTTCTAGAAATAACATAAAAGAAATAATACAGAGAATTCAAAGCATTTATGCATGATAGGTATAGCTGAAAGACACGAGCACTAAGTTCCCCACGCTCTGTTCTCCTTAATGAGCTTGACTTGACCTCAAAGAATCAGTCTCCTGGGACAGAAGTAATTTAGCCTTCATGCAGTTCTGAGTTTACTGGAGTTGAGAAACTGCCAGTTCTGACTGATCGTGTGTGCTGGAGTTGTGATGCGTTTATTACAGAATGAGCTAAGACAACAGAAAACATTTCACCCGAGACTAAAAGAACACTAAGAGAGAATATAAAAAAGACTGGACAGTGGGATCAACAGGAACCAGTTTTTGGCTGCTGGACTGACTGTCTCAGAAATATAACTGTTAACTAATCAGGAGCAATAGGAATCCATCGGCACAGAAAAAATCCAGGCTCAAAGAGTTATGCAGATATTTCTTTCCTGTGGCAAGCTACATTTTCTCCGTATGAATATGTATTACGTTGAGTCCTTATGGCTACAGAGTTAGCTAGCACTTCCTCCTTGATTGTCCTGTAGACAACAGATTATGATAACATGGCATATATGAAGATATTCACATGAAACCTCTTCTTGTGATGGAGAATCTCACTATTGGAAATCAGTGTGCACAGCATTATCTTATCCACTGATGCAGTTACTTGAGAAAAGAAGAAAAAAAAAAGGTCATTTTTTGCATTTTATTGTCAAGTTTCTTAAAGGATTAAAATAAAAAACAGATTGTAAAAATGTGAATCTTAGTGATTCCATTAAGTGTGCACTAAGCAGATTCAGTTCAGTCAGTTCTGAAGCTGAGTATTTCCTACCCAAACATAGGCTTGGAAGCCTCACATCAAGCATCTACCATTGAAAATCACAGTCTGCAGCAATTAATTTGATGAACTCAATGTGAACTAGAATGCTATTTTTAAATGGCAGATACTGAAAACAAAACATAGCAAATTACACAAGACAGTCAAGACAACTGAAATTAAGCTGTTACGTGCTTCAGGTTTCTATCCTTGACCTCTGCAGGGCTGAAACATCTAGAAATTGCAAACTTGAAAGTCATGATCAATTACAATGAAGACCTCAAAGAAATATTCTACTATTAATGTTGGGATAAGTGTCACTTTTAGCATTCTCAATTTTCAATTTCTGTGAGAAGTCAGAAGAGTATTTTCCACATTTAGTATTATTTTACTTGTCCTTCCTTGCTGCCAGTTTTGTCCCTTTTCTCCTGTAACCATGTTTCATTGTTGTATTATCCCTTTTCCAACCTTCTGTCCCACTTTCTGGTTTTTCTGTACTCCTTGTTCATTTCTTCTCAACTCCTCTAAACATTGTATGTTTTTATTTCCAACTTTTGCACCTTCTTATTCTACATGTTAAACATTTAGGATAACATCTAAACCAATGTATTTGGATTGAATATAGGCTAGATGGCTTTTTCTGTGACACAAATCTGGCTTTTCTCATTAGAACATTAGTACCACTGTGATCTTTACATTCCCCCCTCCCTCCCCCTTTCAGTTAAAATGTTACTAAAGATGATTTTTTGGTGCAAGAATCATTGTTTACCATGATTTGACTCTTTAGAATACAATTAAACAGAAGTATAATATGAAAAACTTATTTCTATAGCACTTAAGGAAATGGTACATGGCAGATTATTTCAGTATATAATACCCCAGAGGGCTGGAAGATATTAAATTTGATGGGATTATTTTGCAGATCACAGGTGAACATTTTTGTGAAACAGGCCTACCTATTCCGATAAGAAATGTCATGTCAATAGCTGTGGTTTGGTGCAGGATGGTGCCAGAGACAATTTGGTGTGCACTGAGAGAAACACAATTAAAAATAATTAAGGTTATCCTGGTTTTCCACTGATAATTTAAAAGAGCCTCCAAATGTTCTGCTTTCCCTCCCCTTTGTCCCACTGGGGAAATCTCTTCTCATCCTCTCTGATCAGGCATGGACTTCTTTACCCCAGAGCCAGCTGAGATTACTTCATCTACAAACCCAGAAAGCAGTCTAGTTTTATCATAGTATAAGGTGATTTATTCCTTTGTTTTGAGATTGTGAGATATGGCATTTTACTGAACAGATTTCTCAGCACAAGCTTGTTCTTGGGTATCCTGAGATAAAGTGGGAGGCCAAAAGGACTGGTTGAAAGAAGCTGTAGGGCAGTGCAAGTTTCTTTTCCCCAGCAAATACTTCCTTCTGTGTTAGTACATGCTGTTTCATGTTTCTGTTAAATACTTTCTGATTTTGAGGTGTAATGTTGACAAATAAAATGACGATTTGTTAATTTTAGATTGCACTTTGATTTATTCCAGTTGCTGGAATATGAAACATTCACAATGAAACATTTTTTTTTCTGCTCCATGATTGTACAGTTAGGTTAAAAAACACATTTATTTTAGATTTTGAAGTATCCATTAGTATGCTTTTTCATTTTTGCATAGGCTTTTCTTTTAGAATTTATTAGAATATTTTAAGAATGGTTTTTGATGAAGTGTGCACATTACAAGGAGGATGTGGATTTAAAGACACTTTTTTCGCATAGAAAGAAATGCAATGAAGACTTTTTAATCAAATCTACATTGCTGTGCAGTTTAACTACTGTATGTATTTTGGTGGGCTTTAGTAATGTCTTCGATTTTGAGGAATTCAAAATCCTGAAAGCCGGTCTATGTTGTTCTTTCTGCCTTTCCATAATGGCTGTATCAAAACCCAGATTTAGACATTGTTCAAAGTTTCTATGTTCAAAATCCAGCACTGAAGCTTGTGACTGCAGCCAGTTTTTAGTAATTAGGCCAAAGCGTTGCTAGGAACTGTGCACTGGCCTGCAGAAATACCCTTTGCAGTTTTCAGTATTTAAATCCCTGTGTGCTATCAAGTGCATCGCTTTTTTATCAACAGTCAGAATGCATTTGATTATAAGAAGAGGATTTTGTTGCTGAATACAAAGCAGTCAATAACATCTTTTATGATGTGGTTTGCAATGAAAATGGATGGAGAGATAAATCCCAATTTGTCAGGGGAACCACAAGTAAGAATCAAAGCTAATCTATAGGAATACTGAGTAGAAAATTACTATTCTGTCAGCAAACTTTTCATTCTCTCATTCAAATTACCACAAAGCCAATGCTCTAGGATTAGATCTCTGCTTTCCACAATAAAGGCACAGAAAAAAACTTAAACTTGTGTTTTCTTAAGGATCTCAGAATGTAGAGCAGAATTTTGGTTCTACACCTACAGTTAGGATTCTCAGCCCTCACTCACTTTAGCTGCCAAGAAATCTCCAAACAGAGATATTTCTCTCAAATCTGAGTTATAAATATAGAAACATTATTTTTGGGCCTGTTTAGGCTTTATGTGTTTGCAGAATGAAGCAGTCCAGTGCCTGGTTTATGCACACTGGATCGTGTTTGTAGTCCCAGCTAGTCCAGTTTGCACCTACCAAATACTCACACAAGTGAACTGTGCTCCAGCTGAAGAAAACAGGACTATCTTAAGATGAAAACATGATAACAAGTATTTTAATCTAGGCCCTTTCAATTTTATGGCTAATGCATTAGAGTGTCCTGCAAGGCCAGCTTCTATCAGTAACCTCAACCTGAGGTGGTTCCATAACACACCTCCTAGAAGTGCCATAAATACTGGCCTGAGAGTGATACAGATGGTGGTACTGTCCATCATCCTGCTGAGGCTGTTCTGCTGCATCAAACAGTGTTCGAGCACTGACAAATGCCCAGGAAACAGTTCTACTAATTTGTGTATTAAATAATATACCTAAAAGCTGCATTAAATAATGCAAAAAGAGATGCAATGAACAAAACATCAGGCTTGGGAAAATTTACAAGAGAAATGTCTCCTATTGTAAGAGACTTGTCCCTGCTCTAAGAGTATGATGGTGAATGTGTAACTGATGGC